GGGAAGCCAATATACAATATAGACCACCACGAGCGCTATAGCAAATCCTATCTTGTAAAAAAATGTTTGAGAAAGAGCTAGCATAATGTAGTTTTGTTGAGCAAAAACATTTGCTCAACTCCCGCATTGGAAAAAATTAGGAGTATCGATTAAGAGAAGTTATAAAAAGAAAAACATAAGTCATTCTTTTGCAAGTCCCACATTGGAAAAAATTTGGGGAGTATTAATAAAGAGGTTATAAAAAGAGAAAATTAAGTCTCTTATTTAGAACTTGAGCCCTTGTTGAGGCTTGGGTTATTTAAATATTGGCTTTAATTTATGAATGGGCCCAAAATTTATAAATTAGAGCTAGTATTTAAATAATTCAAGCCTCAAGAAGGGCTTAAGTTTTTCATATTTTCCCAAAAAAAAAAAATGTCTCCATCATCCAAACCACACCTGATCCGAAAATATCCGCTTCAGATTTTGACCCACTTAGACATAATGATTTAGTATGACTTAACTTTAAAAATCGACTCCACCCGACCTCACAGAACTCGATATGATCATCCGAATTGGCACCCCTAATAATAATATTTCATAGTATATATTGTAATTTCGGAGCCTCCAACTATAATATTGGTTATTATCAAAGAGAATAATTATTTTTATTAAATTTTTTACTCATGATTAATTTTGTAATAATTAAATTAATTTAGAAAATATTTAAATCAAGTAAAACAACCACCACCTCCACCCCTCCCCTTCCCACCGCCCATAACTCCACACCCACTGGCGACCCACGTCTATCAGCGGCCGATCCATCCCCTCTCATTCCCCTTACCCTTGTCGCGACCCTAAACTGTATGCCACAACCCACCCCTCCCTTTCCCATCACGAAATAGCCCTCCTTCCTTTCCCCTACTTCGAAAAACGACTCGTTTTTGGGATGGGGAAATGGAGGATGGATGCTTCGTTGTGGGGGAAGGAGGGGGTGGGGTTTTCGAGTTAGGGTTAGGGTTTAGGTTGGGGAACGCTGGAAAGGGGGAATAAGGTTTCGAGGAAAGGGAGAAGGTTTGGATCGGCGGGGATGGGGTGGCTACTTTTTTTTATATAAAAAATTATTTCTAAAATTATTTTAATTATTTTTAGATTTTCATAAATACTCAATATTAATTCTTAAAATATTTTTAACAATTTAGAAAATCATTTAAATGATTTTTTATTTAAAAAAAATATTAGAGAAGGTCTATTATTTATTGTGGCCATGAGAGTGACATCTCAGCGGACCCACTTTTCTCTTAAAGTGATTAAAATACATATGATCACTATAGAAAAATCCCATTGATATCTCTTCTAAATGGAAACTTTTTTTTTCTTTTTTTTCTTTTCTTTTTTTCCTTATTCATTTCTGTTATTCAAATCATACAATCAATACCTACTCTCCTAAAAATAAGGCACCTCATTAGTTAACTGATTAGTTCAATTACATCATCTTTGAAATAACTAAGAGGTCACACCATATAAATTTCAGTTAAACACACCATGAGTTGGTAATTACTACCCCTAAAACTGATTAATTTTAGTGATTGCTACCCTTTTACCTAATCAAGCGATTTAAGCTCTTAATGATATCATTATCCGGCTAATTTTAATATTAGTCGCTTTAAAACCTTAATTAATTAATGTAACCCTAGAACCACCTCCACACCACCATTGCACCACCTCTGACCACCCTCCACCCACTACCAAACCTACCTCATCCAACTCCCCACCAATCCACCATGACAACACCTCTTTCTCGGTCCCCACCCTAAAACCACCATCCGCCCACCCTTAAACGACCTCTCTTTCACGAAACCCCCCTCCCCACCCTCGATGGCCCTGGCCCCCTACCCTTCATCGGAAAACCTTGCTCGACCTTCCCTAATCTGCCTCAAGCCCATTCCCCCTAATTAGAGCTTTGGAGTTTTACTTTTGGAACTTTAGGGTGGTGATTAAGGGGAGAAGGGGGTGGAGGAGGCTTAGGGAGGGCCTAATAGCTAGTGAGGGGGAGGTGGTTAGAGCCGTCGCCGGGTGGAGAGGAAGGATTTTTCGAGGGTGGGAGGAATAGTTGGGGGTTTAGAGGTGGGGTGGATGCCAGGGCGGGGGCAGGCTGCTTACCAGCTCGTCGTCAAGGGGATGATGGGGTAAGGGGATTGCTGGAGATGGTGGGGATGGGGTAAGGGGTTGTTTGAGGTGGTGCAGTGGTTGTTTAGAGGTGGTATTAGGGTTTATTTAATTAATCATGGTTTAAAAACAACTAATTACAATTTTGCTAGACAATGATGCCATTAAGAGCTTAAATAACCTAATTAGGGGCCGATTAGAGAAAAAGGGTAGCAATCGCTTAAATCAATTTGTTTTAGTAGTAGTAATTAACAAAAAAAATTTAGGGGTAGTAATTTACAAAAATGCATTTTTTTGAGATAGTAATTGACAAATTTTCCTAACAAATAACAAGTTTACATAGTAAAATCTCATACCAAAATTTAGCTTGGATAAAAATAAAATGAAGCAGAAATCACCACACACGTATGTATTCCGCATGAAGGTATAGTGCAACGAAAAAGAAAGCCACAAGCAACAAGACATGAAGGTAAGAAAATCCATATAAGAACTAGAGAAACATATTCCAAAGACTGTATACTCTCAGTAAAGAGCCAACTACAACAGCCATAGGCACAAATTTTACATAACAAGAGCAGGGGATGATAACTTTCAAGCCAATGTCTTCAAGATCTAAAACTCGGTAAATTAAATCTTACACCATATATTTCTAACAGAAACTTGGATCTAGAAAGCAAAATTACTGAGAAACCTTAGCCATTTTGTGAGATTTTTAAACTCGGTGTAGTCAGAATCTGATATCATGGTTTTGTAGAAAGATCTTCCAGCGGCCTATATGGCAGTAAGCTCCTCCTGTTCAAGATTCAGCAAATTCTATTCTACTTCAAAGAATCCATATGCAAGTGCTCTTCCTTTCAACCATGAACTCTAGTCTCTAGGCACTGCTGATGCTACTTGTCTTCAGATACCACTGCTACTGCCTATCTTCATAGTAGCCATCAAGCATGCAGAACGGGGTACAAAACCATAGCTCTATGTCCAGACAGAAGATGTTACGTAACAAATGATAGCATACCAACAACTGTATGAGGTATTTAATGAGCAGTTTCCTTATAATTTTAGTGTGACTCCACTCCAACCTCTAATCGGGCAAAAAACTAAACTGAACACAGCCTACAAAGAATGACCAATAATTGGGACCATGTACTTTCATTAAACAAAACACGACTTACTTTCCACGTATCAGAATCGTACAATCAAGGGAGTACCCACACAATCACTAGTATAGACAGCGATCATATAGGACAAACAACGTGATTCACTTTCATCAACCTTGGCAAGATACAGAGTATAAAAGTTTGAGGAATACAATTACCAAAATAAGTTGGTAATCCAAGAACAGATATCATTCATAGAATACAAAATCCCCGAAATTTTATAATGTAATCGAGTAGACCAACTTAGCTGTCAATCACCAAGACTGTCAAGTTACAAAGAAGATGGATGCATTATGACTTACGAGCAAAGAATTTTAAGGCTCCTGCTCACAAATTGCTCTATTCGTAGCCACTCTTCATCCTGATAACCAATCCCAGACCAGCGCAAGCCGCGAAAGCTATTTTTCTTTCCAGATAATGGAAAAGCATTTACATACCTGCGTTTGGTCTGAGCCAGAAACTGTTTCCCCCTCTCAACGAGCACTATAGCAGCAGCATGTGAATGAAGATAGCAGATTATCTGAACCAGGTTAAAGTGGCTCCTAAAAACATTCAGCAGCAATAATTTCCTTCCATTATGAAAGTGGGAAATAGCAGTTTCTATGTGGTCGCTGAATCACAATACATCACAAATTTTGGTGATGGGTTAGGGTTAAGCTTACTCAGGCTGTCATCTCCCAAAGAAAATTAAATCAACGCAGGCAAATGTTCAAAATATGCCCAGAATTAACCTTCCTCGAGTAGATGTGTACATCATTGATTCATCCTCAACACACACACACACACACACACACACAAAAAAAAAAAAACTCACTATAACTTCCAAGCAGAAACTCTAAACTCCAAGCTCAGAGAAAACAAGTCACTTTCGAATGAAATTCTAGGTTCAAATCTTAGAGGAGTTACATTGTATCCTAGTCAATACTGCTTGAATTCATAGTTAAGGTAACAATGATTCAATTTAATGTCATCAACTTAAACCGAAAACAACAATTCCATCTATATCACATTGCCTAAATTAGTACGAGGCAAAAACATAAAAAACAACAGTATCCCACAATCCAAACAACAAATGTACCATTGGAGAGCAGATATTCATATTGATTTACAAGATTGCTTTTAAAAGTGCTTTATCTAATAATTATCTCATTTCATACAGCTAAACCATTAAGATTGGACTTTCCATTACAATCTCTTAGTGGAGTACAAGAGTTCAACACTGAATGATAAGTGAAGAAGCACGAAACTCAGTGAATGATGAGTTCTGCATCAAGTTTTTATACTTGAAAACCCCATGTTTGAACATGGTCACCAGCTTATAGGAGTGATTTTTAAAGCACTAGATGTCAGCAAGAATACATTCGTACATATTGAAATGGTTTGGGAAATTATTTTGCTTCATTACAGAATCGAATTGGGCTCTAATAGGAGCCCAGGGCACAGTGGTTTGGGAAATTATTTTACTTCATAACATTATGCACGTAATATCAAATTCAATTGAAATGCAAGTAGCTGTTGCTTAGGTCCCTGGACTGCAGGCACTGCTGATGCTACTAGTCCTTCAGATACCCTACATTTCTTCAAGCATGCAAAACAGGGTGGTATAAAACTATAGCTCTACGGATAAAATGGTAACAAAAAGATAGCTCTGTTCCATAAGACTCGACTCAAGCCTCAAGTCATGACAAAAATAAGTAAACCAAACACAAATGTCCCTTCATTAAACAAAAATAAGACTTAAAACAAAAATAAGACTTCCCAAGAATCAGAAATTCAGAATCATACAACTGAAGTCTGAGGAGCACTCACACAAAACTATGAAGGTATGAAAATCCACAAGCAACAAGACATTAAGGTATGAAAATCCATATAAGAACTAGAGCAATAAATACCAGACAGTAAATTCTCAGTAAAGAGCCCTCAAACTACAACAGCTATAGCCACAAATTTAAAATACCAAGAGCTGGGGGTAACTTTCAAGTCTTAATATCTTCAACATCCAAAACCCGGTAGATTAACTCTTAAACCAAATATCTCTAACAAAAATTTAGATCTAGAAAACAAGATTACTGAGAAACACCGAGCCATTTTGTGAAGTTCTCAAATTCGGTGTAATCGGAATCGGAAATCATAGTCTTGTAGAACGATCTTCCAGAGGCCTTAATGGCAGTAAGCTCCTCCTGTTCAACATTAAGCAAAAATACAGCAAAATTAGCAGTTGTAAAATCATTCAAGACTCTAATACAACCAGAATTTAATACAAACAATGAACTATCACAATACTATAACTGCAAATAAGAATTCTGCCCCATTTCAAGCCTGGTAAAAGTTCTTGGAAAAAAAAACATAGACCATCGAGAACGCATCAACAACAGAGAAATCAGTAAGTCTCATGAAACAATCACAATACTAAATGACTATAGCAATCACAAAACATGTACAGCAATTTATACAACAAATGAATTGAAATGAAATAGGATTATATGCATTCAATCTCACAAAAGCAAATGATATCATGACCAGTATCAAACAACCAAGATCAACAGCAAGACCAAATAAACATGATTAGTAGCAACATCAAAGTTATCTTAAAATAAAATAGCATATAAACATCACGAAAAGCCATCCTACAAAACAGATTACATTCGAAAGTCTTGTAAATTTCCGAATATCAATTAAAAATATAAACATACATTGTAATAAACCATACACAAAGTGATGAACATTGATCACAACCTATCAATCTTACAACAACTAAACAATTGTAAAATTCATCATCACCAACATTTCAAAGCCTTAACAGCCTAAACTATAATAAAAATCCAACAAAAACATTACTTTCCACAAAGCAGTAAAATTTATTGGCATACACATTATAATGAGCAAATACTTGCAACAAAATCAACTGATAAAAACAACAATAATAATTAAAGTATGACATTAACAAAAACAAAAGAAAGAAATATACCTTGGAAAGGACCTTTCTCTTCTTTTGAAGCTTGGATTCCTTAGAAGCAGCCCTTTGCTTCTCAGCCAACAGAGCCATCCTCTTAGCAGTCTTAGCATAGGGGTTCAATTTCAGCATAACATTGAGATTCTTCAATGGGTTCTTCTTCATTGGTGCCCTCACATAATCCTTCTTAATCGGTCGGACAACCGACTGAATCTCATCAGAATTGATAAGCCTAGCAAGATCACCATTCAACATCTTAGCCCTTGGCAATACATACTTGTTCTTCTTCTCAGAAGCCTTATCGAAGGACCCATAAATCGAATCGAGCTTCTCGAAAGCACCCTTAGTCCATATCACAAACCTCCCCAAATGACCACCAGGAGCAAGCTTCAACAAATTCAACCTATCAACATGGCAAATCTCAACCCCAGGAATGTTCCTAAACGCCTTAACCAACTTCGACCCCTCGGTCGAGTACACGATGAGCGGCCCCTTTCGTGAAATGTACCTTCTGTTCCTCATCTTTCCTTTTCCAGCACGAATCGCAATCGATTTCTTGGCCTTCTCCACATCCTCAAACGCACCGATTGATTTCAACACCTTCAAAGCAGACTTAGTCTTCTCAACACCCTCAATTGAGTCCGACACAACAAGGGGAAGCTCGGGAACAGTCTCGATCTTATGCCCACGAGCAAGAACAAGCGACGGAATAGCGGTCGCAGCAATAGCAGAAACAACAGCATACCTCTTCTGATTAACATTGATTTTCACATGCCATTTTCTCCAGATCCTGGTAGGAGCAAACATACGCCCACCACGACACATGTTTCCGAAAGCTCCCTGACCAGCACGGTGAGTACCACCACCAGGCACACGGGGGATACGGGAAACGGCACGGCCCGTGCCCCAGGACTCAGCGGAGGTCTGATGCCCTGCTTTGCGGGAAACAGCGTAGGGTTGACGGGAGTTTTTGGAGATGTTGGAGTGAACGTAGGTGACGAGGTCGGGGCGAAGGGGAGATTTCATGACGTCGGGGAGTGGTGCGGAGGGGGTCGAGTCGGTTGAAATGTCGGACTCGACGGTTTGGATTGTCACCAGTGGGCGGGCGGCGGCGGCGGTGGAAGACATTTTGAGAGAAGGGGGGAGGGGAATGGAATGGCCAGAAGAGGGGGAAGTGAGAATTAGGGTTTTATTGGGGTATGAGACTACGAGAGAAGGGTGGAGTAGGTTTAAGAAGAGTGTATAGTTTCGGGTTGGGGTTATTTTGGGTTTGAGTGAAGGGTGTTTTTGGGCCTGGCTTAGGTTTTCAGCCTTCTTATATATTGCATGGATTTGTAATCCAAACTTCATTTTTATATCACAACTAGTATTTAGCCCGTGCTATGCACGAGTCAAACTTGCTAGTTAAATATTTTTTTTTTAAAAAAATTGTCAAAAATAATACAAATTTTCAGCGGTCCGTCAAAAATAAGTCAAACTTTTGGTTAATTCTAAATAATACAAACTTTGGAGGGTGTCTGCTATAAACAAGTTATTTTACCTGCAACCTGAATGACCGGTCATTTTTTTTTAATAAATTTGTTTATCTATTTAATTAACTCTTAACAACAACTTTAATGATTGTTAATTATCAATAAAATATTTTAAATAAATTTCTTAAAAAATATAATTAAAAAAAACGAGTCTTCCACCAGCCACCACCGAGCACCGGCGCCATCCCCTGGCTCCGACTCCCCCTCCCCCCACATGTCACCTTCTTTCACTCTTCCTCGACACTAGCTGAACCACCGAACTCCTTCCTCCGCAAAATCGCCGAAATCCCTCCCTAAAATCTCCCTCCCCCGCTAAACCACCAAAAACCCATGTTCCACCTTCGAAAAACCTTTACCGAACCCTCTATCGGTTGCTGAGAGGCCCGATTTGGGTTTTAAAGTGAGAGATGGATTTTTTTTGTGGTTTTGCGATTGAGGGAGGATTTAAGGGGAGGGTGTTCGGTGGTTCAGGTCAACGGTTGGGCAAGGGGGTGACGCTCGAGGGAGGGTGTCGGCGCTAGGGGTAAGCAAAAATTCCGGATACCTAGAATTGGAACCGGAACCGGTAAGGAACTAGTGGGTCCGAAAATGGAATTGGACCCGTGGTTCCAATTCCGAGTAATAAATTAAGGACCCGGTTATAACCAATTCCAATTCCAATTCAAAACTTTTTGAAACCGAAATCAGTTGGGTATCCGGTTACCTAATATATGCTAAACTAAATAAATTTAAATAATAAAAATATGTTGAATATATCTAATTTGTAAATTAAAAAAATATTATTAATACCTAACATAAATACAAATAGCTTAATGCATATATATCCTTCAAAAAAAAAAGCTTAATGCATATATAAATATAAGTATTAAACGCTAAAAATGAACCTAACTAAAATAAGAATTATAATTTGTATTATATTTTAACAATTACATACATAAGTGGGTACCCGAAACCGAAATCGGTACCCGGTGGTTCCAATACCAATTCCTAAATTTTAGGACCCAGTTGAACCAATTCCAATTCCAGATCCGAATTTTGGGACCCGGTTCCAACCAATTCCAAGTCCGGGTCCTAAAATTTTGACCGGGTACCCAGTTTGCTCACCCCTAGTCGGCGCCGACGCCGGAGGAGGGGATCTAGGCGCGGCCGACGCCGAGAGGCAGGGTAGGGTGGAAGTGGTGGTAGAGTGGCTGGTTTGGGTGGGGATGAGTTTTTTGTTTTAAAAAAATAAAATTAAATACATTAATAATCTTTTAAAAATAAAATACATTAAATAAATAAATAAATAAAAATCAGATTAAATAGCTAAACCAATAAAATTTTGACACGTGTCCCGTATAACCTGTTAATCAAGTTACTAACAGATTAAAACTTGTTTTTGGCGAACACCCACCAAAGTTTGTATTATTTAGAAATAATTAAAAGTTTGACTTATTTTTGGCTGACAGTTGAAAGTTTGTATTATTTTTGACAATTTTTCCTAATTTTTTGATAATTTGATTAAGGATTTTTTTGTATTGTTTACTCTTTTTTTTTTTTTTTTTAACGGGTTTTTTGTATTGCATACTTGGATTGCTCTTTTAATTCAAATCAAATATATGTTTATATAAATTGCATTATAGAAATACTACTTATAATTTAGTTCATTATTCTCAATTTAAAAGTTGTATTATATCATAAAAAATATGCGTGTTTATTGACGGCCAAGAACAATCTATATTTTTATCTATGCATCCAAAACATCATTCGGCATAATTAAACACTAATACTTTCAATTTTTGTTATTGTATTATTTAACATTATTGAAAATGCAAAGGAATATACAATCATTGATACATAACTAATCATCTAAATAATCTTAAATCATTACAATTTCTCTCACAAACTTGATATAACTAACGTCCAATATATTGTTTAGTTGTTGAATAATGAATTTCACCTGCAAAACACACAAAATCACAATTAATAAGTAAATAAATCAACAATACCTAGAGAAGTAAACCAAATCAACCATTTTAGAGAAGTAAACTATTATTACTTCAAAATAGCACATTTAGAATCACTAAATTTCGGAGAATAGCCATGCCTACCTCCCTTTCTAATAATCGAAAAATAAAATGAAACTATATTATGGATACAATTGAATCTGATTTTCATTTGTCAACAAAAGAAAAGATTAAACATAGGAATTCATTATGATATTTCTTAAAAAGAAAAAATTACAATAGAGGTACTCATTGATGTATGTCTTTAAAAATAAACCCATCAAATAATAATATTCCTCTTTATTTACAAAAAGAGGTAAAAATTAGAGAACAAAATCAAGGGAACAACAACATTATTCATGCATCTAGGCCGAAAAATTATGGAAGATATCAAATGAACTAAAACTTTCCATCATCCTTAAAGCAATAAATAAATTTGGAATAACATCCAAGCCTTATAAACTTTAATTAACAATACATACGTTCAATCGTGTAAAGATTTAAAAAAAATAGAATTGGAACAAATTCAACCTTAACACATATGAAACATGTTTTTCAATAATAATTTTTTTTTTAAATTTTTTTTTTAAAAAAAAAACCCCACAAAACATACGCAGCTTCTAACAAATCGACTAATCAAGCAATATAGAAAATTGAAAAAGCAAAACATTTGAGACAAAATGTTCTCAAATTTCTGTTAATTTATTTAAAGAAAAAGGCAGAAGTTAAATCAAATAATGAAGCACCTTGAAAAGTAAAATAATTGTTTACACTCCTAATTGTAAGAGTTTATAGGTATTACGCAGCGGAAAAACATGAATCATATTCAATCAAGTACCAATCCCAAGATCACATGCATAACACACAAGACACATAATCATACCTTTGACGCATGAATTCCACGAAGCTATTCGACTGGCAAATCAGGGAGAGAATAGAGCCCCAAGCGTTGCTCCTCTACTTAGTCCACGAGATTCGAACGAGCCGTCCACCAATACTAGATTGGTCGAGTGATTGAGGAGAACCGCGATCACCACCTTTACAGACAACCAACCACCGCACGAACCACCACCACCACGAGACACCACCAGCGCCAATGGAGGAGGAGAGAGCCGTGTGAGAGAGAGGACTTTGAGAGGGTTGGGTTTCGTGTTTTCTAATTAGGGTTTGATCACACTGATCAGTTAATTTCTTACTTACTGCAAACCTAGGCACCCAGTCTATTTATAATCTCATTATAATTAGACTAGGGCACGAAGCCCAAAACTCCTTCTAATCCACTACATGGCCGACCACCTAGAGTGATGAGGCCCATGATGGGCCTCGTCCTCTAATGCTCGATCTAGCCCCTTTGTGTGACCTTATAGGATCCGTCCAATTGGGGTTTGGCCTATTTTACTAGTCCAAAGATCGTTAGTACCTCTAGCTATGGCAAAACGACGACTCAAAAGTACGAACTTAATTATCTCCATAATTTGATCCATTTATATATCTAGTAATTGCACACGACGAAGACATAACTCCTTCAATCTCCCACTTGTCTGAGACAAGGGTGCAATATTCAAATTCCTTAATTCAATATATGTGTCGATTTGATAATATGATTGCATCACATGTCGAGATCATATTAATCTACAAATCATTTCTTGAAATCTGAGTTAGAATTACAAAACCAAATGATTACTGTGTAATGCATTTGAACGCGGCCACGTATTTTCTGAATTCTCCCTCTTCAAGCGGCCATGACACATTTCCTAATTTAATAGGTAGACTATATCCAATCTTGTGGTAACATGACTCTCACTCAACTTCTGAAATAACCGGGAAACACCCTTTATAATCTCCAGTTACGGCTAGACGTTTGAGTGTACCACAGTCACAACATCCATTGAATGAAATCAATGTTCCACTCATGTCAAAGGAATCCACTAATATATACGGAAGCTCTATACTTGAACTTCAAAGTAGGTCAATAGTTCGATCATGCATCATTCATGCATATCCAAGTGATTGACCGAGCATCACTATGCCCCTATAGCCCATGAAACTGCGCTATCCAATCAATCTTACATGCTAGTTCATTTAATGAAATCATTTATGTCCACTTTAATGATCTCGAACTAGGAACTTTAAATAATATATGAATTTTGTTCACCTGTGGGGTTTCAATTCACCAGGTCATCAACCTGATGAGCCCATCAATTCATAATTATTTTGGACATTTTATTTAATTTCCAAAACCATAATTAAATAAGAGAAATAATAATTTCTATTTTAAACATAATTCTGCAAATTGATGCATTTCTCATGTAATATGCTTTCTCAAAACATATACAACTTAAATTACATAACTTGCTTCAATCCTAAGACTTTAATATGACTCTCATATCTTAGTCCATGGAAGGGGTTTTAGTGATTTCTCACTCATAATAAAACTTTGCAGAACACGACCTTCCGCTGGTCAATGATCTCATAATTGAGGTGATATCTCATATCCTTTTGTTTGGATTTGTGATGTGACTCTGGCTCCTTTGTTTTTGGGCAAAGGTGACCTGTTAGTCACATGACATTTTAATCCGAACTTCCTCTAAAACTATCTGACTATAATTTAATACACATATTCTGACATTGAGTATGCAACAGTGCTCTGCTTTGAACTCTTCAAGCTCACTGTCCTTTTCCATCCAGACACAAA